GTGTGTGTGTGTGTGTGTGTGTGTGTGTGTGTGTGTGTGTATAGTATATATATATATATATATATATATGTATATATATATATATATATATATATACATTTATATACATATATATACATATAGGATGTATATGATACGTATCATACTGTATATGCTTGGTATATATTGGCTTTATTTAAGCTTATACAGGAGTTTACTCTCGACTACTCCCTTTTCGCAAGGATGGTATAGGGTAAGAATTCGTTAATCGTGATATATCTATCAGCATGAATTGCATACGCAGTACCTATTGACTACTCATCTGTTGCAGAAGACCTGCTGAGCGTGGCTCGGCTGTATCAATACATGTCAGATTTCAAAGCCATGATACAACTCACCCATCATTTTCACCCTAAACCCTAAAAACCCTAATCCCACCCCCAAAAACTCTAAAACCTTATAAACTTGTGATGCCTGGCCCAGACTGTGCTACGTCGACTTGGTGCTGCTTTCCTACGCTGGTATTTACATTGACGGCCCCAATTCATTCTACAACGTTTCACATGTGACACCCATCGTGCACAGGCTGCTGAGCGAGTTATAGTTGCAGCGACTGTGGGGTTCTAAACTTCGGTGCAAGATACTGAGCACCTGTCACTCCTTTATTGATGTTTCAATATATAGCCAAGATTTCTTATACAGTACTAACCATCTGCACTCATCGTTTGCACAGGCAGTGCTACGTATGTATGCTTTGAGCAGCTTTCTTTAGGTGGTGTTTGCATTGACAGCCAAGATTGCTTAAACATGACTGACCGCTCACACTCATCTCGTGCACAGACAGAGCTAGTTACACCTTGGGCGGTTGTGTCTATCATTGATATTTGAATTGATTTTCAATTTTTTTTCTTTTTTAACACACTTCTCTTTTCTGACGTCCATCTGTTGCACAGACAGAACTAGATATACATTGCTCCATGCAAATCCACATCCATGATACATCTCAACATATCTTGTAGTATTTTGTGTTGCATGCTTACTTTTACTCCCGCTTTATTTCTGATATACATCCATGATACATCTCTACATATCTTGTAGTATTTTGTGTTGCATGCTTACTTTTACTCCCACTTTATTTCTGATATACATCCATGATATGTCTCTACATATCTTGTTAGTGTCTTGTACACGCGCTTACTTTTATTCCCGCTTTATTTTTGATACCCATATCTTTGACACAGGCTGAGCTGGGTGTGCAGTGCTTCAAGCGGTTGATGCAGGCTAAAAAACCAGTAGGAACCAAGTTCACAGACGAGCAGAAAAATGTCTCGTCCACAACCAAGAACCTGGATGTTAATACCGGCACAGTGCTCACAAAGGTATTTCGCGACAGGCCAATGTTGTATTTAATACTCGTCGCAAATATTTTCTCACGAGATATTTTCACCCATGTCAATCGCAAATGTCTTGTTCCGAACCCTACGCACCGATGGTATCTTTGAGCCACCATGGTACAAGCTGTTCACTTCATGGTACATCGCGTGTTGCTGTTCATACGAAAGCCTAGTGACCTGTGTCTTCGTTCGCCCTGCAGCATGACACACAGCACTATGCCGAGTTAGGGAGCGAGAAGATCGTGGTGAGTGATGATATGGTGAAGAAAACAAAGCAGATGCTGCCGTCTGGTATTCAGCTCTTAGGCTTCAAGCCTATTGGCAGGTCTGTATATATCCATCGAATTGTGTGTCTGGTTTTGACGTAGTATTTTCGTAGTAACGAGCGTGTAGTGTACTTTGTACGTGTGAGGTGATATGTGTACTGCATATACGTAGGTGTGGTTTTATATATGCCTACCTGGGAAAAGATTCATGTCACGGGTTGTGTTGTCATACGCCAGCCTCAATACTGCTTGAGGCAAGTATCGTCATGTACAATCCTAATTGGGAGGTATTCGTATTTCTTGCCGCATATACAATTGGCAACAAAGTTGAACCATAGCATACCTATTAGCCGGCGGACTGGGTAAACCCATATATCAAAAGTTGCATTGATTCATATTGAACTTTTATATATATACCTTCACGACAAATGATTAGAATGCCCGTTCTTCTTGTATCTTGGCCGCATACATGTGGCGTCAGGTCATGACAAGTATAACAAAGCCTTTCTTATCCGTACTTTCCGCCGCATGTGCATACGCTTTTAGGTCTAACCATAGCATACCCAACTTGCTGCGGACTTCCTATAGCCTGTATCTAGCCCTGCAATAGTTTATGATACATCCTTGCATCTTTATAATACGTATAGGCATATTGAAGTATCCTGTATTCGTACAATCTGCCGCATATACATATGGCTGTAGGGTCCAACCACGGCACAACTACCTTGCTGCGTACCTGCTATACTCGGGAATCTATCTCTGCATTCATTTATCACACAAACAAATATCTTCATGATAAGATATAGACTCAAGCATCCATGGTTCTCATCATCTGTGCATATATGTATATGGCTTTGTAGTATACGTCTCTGGCCGTGGGTTATTTATACCTAGATAGCCCTGTGTTCGTTTTTAATACAAACAAATACCTTTCATGGTAAGTGTACTAAAGCTTCACTTATTCTCATCGTCTGCCGTTGATGCAATGTCAACAGGGTCAAGCCACATCACATCTTTCTGACGGACGAATATCTGTACCCCGAAATCTACCCCTGGATTCATTTATCATGTAAACTTATATCGTTCATAATAAATATACTAATATTTCTGTTACTATTACCCTCTACCGCATATACAAATGGCAACAGGGTCAAGCCACATCACACCTTCCAGGCGGCAGACTTTCTGTACCCAGATGAATCATCCATAGTGGGCAGTACAGCCCTGTTCACCACATTGCTAGAGCGATGCGACAAGAAAGGAGTGTCGGCCATCTGCCGCTTCACTTCGAGATCCGGTACATATACATATACATGTACATATACATAAAAATATACGTAAATGTATCCATATATATATATACATATATATATATACATATACATATACATGTACATAAACATATACATATACATATATATATACGTAAACGTATCCATATACATATACATATACATATACATATACATATACATATACATATACATATACATGTATATATACACCTATACATATACTATTTTCATATCCATATACATATACTTGTACATATATATATATATATATATATATATATATATATATATATATATA